GTGGAGGAGCGTATCCAGCCTGGTACGCTCGAGCTGTCCGATGGTTATCATGGTGGAGCTACTTTCTGGTCTCCACGGAAAGTGCGAGAAGCTCACCACTAATATGAGCAGAAACAGCGCGATCACGAGGAGTCACAACGCCAAAAAGCTATCACAATCGAAGCTAGAAAGGAGAGAAAGCTACTCAAAGCTCAAGAACTAGATGAGCGGCGGCGGGCGCGGGCACAGGCAAAACTAGATCGTGAGAGGCAGAAAGCTGAAGCAGCTGCCCACCGGATAGCCCGCCAAGCCGCCCACAAACGACTTCAAAAAGCTATCAAAATCTCTCGAATAGGCAAGAAGCCTAGCTCTAAGCGCCATGCCAGGCTGGTATTGAAAAATATTATTGTTAGTAGTAGTAGTGGTGGTGCGCAGCCAGCCGATCGATCAGCTGCACCACCATCACCACGCTCGTGTTCAGGCCGCCCCATCAAGCTGCCAATCAAATATCAGTAGATAGATTAGGTAAACGATACTACTAGATTACTACAGTAAAATTTCTCGCGATAATAGGTTTTATGTAGAGCTCTACAGCTTCAAGTTTGTGATAGTACTGTTGGGGAAAAATCCGGCGTTGGCCCGTCTGTGGCGTTGGCCCGTCTGGCATCTCTAACGTGCATCCCGCATAACCAAGAAACCCGCCTCACCGAGATGGATTTGCTATCCAATCTTCTATTTTCTTCCCCTCTATGCTTATTAAACTGCACTTAGAGTAGCATTACTCTTAAGATGCCCTTCTTCTACTTCATAGTGAGTATTACAAAAAACACAATCGTTTTCGTTATGCTAGTTATTTATAATGCTACTGGATGTGGTGAGTGCGTGGAACAGTTCACCCAATGCAACACCCCACCAAAATGCGTGCCCACCAAAAAATGAAGCTTTTAGCCACCACGAAAACGTTATCATCGCGAGATTTTTTGGTGGAGTACTGGCATGATAGTATATTTAATATATATCTACAAATATTTGGTGGGTAAACGCACACTGCGGCCGCGGGTGGTAGTTTTGGTGGGAGGCTTGGCGGGTGGTGATGCATCACCACCACCACTTTCAGCCTCCACAACACGACGCCGCTTTGGTATCTTTATATTCTGAGTTGATGAAGCTTTTCGTTTAGCTATATTTTGCCTATCGCGAGATTTTTGTGAGGTTGCAGCAGCACGGTCTCGTGCTTTTTCAGCGCGCGCGGCAGCTAGTTGTGCAGCCCTCGCAGCCCGCTCCTCCTGCCGCACCACTTTGGCCATTTCGCGATGCTCACGAGCAGCTTGTGCCATCTGTTCTCTGTACGCGGCTGCGGCAGCTCGCTCCTCCCTCTGGAGTTTTTTTTGGAGTTTTTTTTCATGCTCTTGCTGTTGTTCTACTGTCTCGCGGGCTCTGGCCTCCCTCACTGATCGTGGGCTCCATATCACCGCAGTGCTGTGATACTCTTCGTGCTGCTGCAGATCGAGAAGTTTTCTTTCAGCTTTACGGCGTTTTCATAGTGCAAAAGCTCGTTCTGAGTCTGCAATGAATGGAGCGCCTGTTTAAGCTGTTTGGCTGCATTTTTTGATATATCCGGCACTGCAACGGTATATATTCTTGACAGCTCCCACCAGGTATCTCTATCACCTGTCTCTCCAATTTCTGTATCTATATCGGCTCGTGGTGGTGGTGTTTTGAAGCGTTTTATTACGACGTCGGGCTTGCGCGGATAGATCCTAGAGGTGCGAAAACTACTTAATATATTATCAGCTGTGAAAGTAGATGTATACGCCGCCTAAAATATGCGTAGGAAATCGCTTTTCCGCATATTGAGTAATTCTTGATTGCTGTGGAGTAGATTGGTGAGCTCGGTACTGTACGCGATTGCTAGAGGTGAGTACACGCCAACGTCGAGTGGCTGGAGGCTCTGAGTGGCGTGAGGTGGAAATACTGCGAGAAGTATTCGATTAGCATAGCAATACTTGATGAATGACGGCATAAGGTGACTGCTATGCCTATCGACAAGAAGCATCCTGTAGTCGCGTTTTGCTTTGTCCTTCGTGAGCCGATCGAACACCTGCTTAACCTAAGCTAGCGCGAGCTCATTATTACTCCATCCAGATGGGCTGCTGCAGCAAAAAATGCGGTTTTTTTCGACCTCTAGGTCCCGCAGCCATTCATTGCGAAGACCATCTGCTCCCTCGAAGATTATCGCAGGATCTACCGAGCTCCTATTAGCGCAGATACACTTAATAATCGTGATCTCGTCTCTACTCCTATCTTAGAGTGCCTTGCGTATCTTCTTTTGCTCCCACATAGCCTTTGAAAAGATTCTTTTAGATGGTAAGATCCGGCCGAGTAAGAAGCCCTTCTCGTCTATATTATAAATATTATATGGCGTAACCTTATATTGATCGAGCTTGGCATAAAGGAGATCGAAATTTGGTAGTTGGCTGGATTTTTAGCTAGATGACGGTCACGGTCGATACTGGTGGCTTTTCTGATGCATAATATTACAAGTAACAAGAAGGATTCTCTCCTTGACGAACGACGAGATGGCTGAAGGCCTATGGACGTCCACGTCAGAAGGTAATGACCATCGCGGGGCGAAGGTCACGTGACTGACATCATGCCAAGATGACCGTCAGGCGCTAGTATGTGATGGCAGCAATCCTCTGATGGCAGCCATCAGGACATCAGGCCAAGCAAAGGGAAAGTCGTGATGGCAGTGATGGCAGGACTGGAAGCAATGAGGATATAAGGATGGATGGATTTCATTATTTACTCTCGTTGTGGTCAACTCAAATTGTACTTTCTTACTCGTATCTTTACTTAACAAGATTGTCACAAGTTAGTCTATCAAATAGATTAGTCTTGTCAAACCCTCCTTAAGCACGCCAACTCCACTGCATCGCCAGACAAGCCTCACGGAACACTAACGTAATACTCACCTGCCTTAGTGCGGACCAGGATAGAGAAGTACAGACCCATACCCCGTGTAACACATAAGTTATCGTGGTGACGGTGCAAAAAACGAGTAACCTAGCTATCGGAGGGCTCCTATTCTGCAATAACGGCTATATAATTTTTGACTATAGATCGAGAAGGTGGTAGCCTACGTTTTGATAGTTTTTCTATATATTTTACTAGCTCAGATTCTTGTGGTGGAGTGAGTAATTAACGTTTTTTTGCAGCTGCTGTTCGCGACTGGGTTTTGTTTTGGTGCCGGCGCGTTAATGTTGTAACTGCAATACCAAACTTTTTTACAACTGCGCGATATGAGAGTTGACCTTCTGCATCTTGCGAATTGATTGCCGCAATCGCTTTCTCGATGGCTGTCATGGTGGTGGAGATATCACGTGTTGAAAATGATGGGTAGATATTTTGATGGGGCAGATAGTGTTGCATTGGCTGAACTGTTGCATGCACTGACCACATGCAGTATATTAATATACAGTAAAATAATTATATTGTGGTAGAGCTACACGCTTATAAATGTGCGCAGGTTTGGTGGGGTGCGTCACTTGCTTGTCTGCGTCACTCGCTTATCCACTAGTACGTTAGTTAACTAGTTAACTAGCTGTATTAGATTCTAGAAGAATCTAACGTGTTTTATCAGTAAGCGGCCCACCCCACCAAACTTGACCCAACACTCTACACAACCACCACTATGCCGCGACAACAACGCTCTAAACAGACTTCTCGTGAAGCTAGAGTACTTCTAGCATCTCGTGCGCTTCAAGAGAAACGTGTAACAAGCCAGCGTCAAGCTGCCATGCTATACGACGCTCCACGAACGACGCTCCGACGACGCCTCCGCGGTACCCAGCCGCGATCAGAGACAGCCTCTATCAATCGCAAGCTATCAGCTATTGAAGAGCAGTCTCTTGTTCAATGGATCCTAGAGCTAGACCGACGAGGCTTTCCGCCCCATATTATCGACGTCCGACGGATGGCAGACGCTCTACTCGCCGCGCGTGGCCAAAATCCACCTCCACTACCTGTTGGCAAATGTTGGGTGTCGCGCTTTATCCAAGGCCAGCCTGAGCTTCAGACAAAGTGGACTAGACGATTGCATAGTCAGCGCGCCTCCTGCGAGGATCCTGCTATAATTGTAGCGTGGTTCAAGCTAGTAGAGGAGACGCGTCAGACGTACGGCATCCTTGACCAGGATATCTATAACTTTGACGAGACTAGCTTTATGATGGGTGTCACTGCAACGTCAAAAGTAGTAACTAGCGCTGATAGAGTTGGCCGGGCAGTCGTCGTACAGCCAGGTAATCGCGAGTGGGTGACAGTAATCGAGTGCGTTAACACGTCTGGCTGGTCTCTCCCACCGTTCATGATCCTCTCTGGTAAGGTCCACCAGAGCAGCTGGTACCGCGACCTCCCACAAGACTGGACTGTCGCAGTATCAGACAACGGCTGGACGACTGATCAGCTTGGCGTAGAGTGGGTGAAGCACTTCAATCAGCATACAGCTGCTCGTACAGCTGGAGTCTATCGGCTGCTTATTCTAGACGGCCATAGCAGCCACGCCACGCCAGAGTTTGACCAGTTCTGTACAGAGAACAAGATTATCACTCTCTGTATGCCAGCCCATACGTCGCACCTCCTACAGCCACTTGATGTAAGCTGCTTCTCCCCACTTAAGCGCGCGTACGGGCGTGAGGTTGAGGAGCTCGCCCGCCAAGGTCTCCACCATATTGATAAGATAGACTTCCTTACAGCCTATACACGGATCCGGCCAATAGTCTTTACGCAGCAGAATATCCAGGCAGGCTTTCGGGCGACAGGACTTATCCCTCCTTGTCCAGAGCGTGTCCTATCGTCGCTCACAGTAGCCAGAACACCGTCTCCACCACAGACAACCACAGATAATAACGCTGCAGCGCAGGCAGTAGAGCAGATAGAAACACCGCATACAGTAGCAGAGCTCCAGCAGCAGGTACGCTATCTCCAAGGGCGACTGCAGCGGCAGCCAGAGAGTCCAACAAGCATTGCAATACGCCAGCTTGCAAAGAGTGCTCAGCTTGCGATGCAATCAGCAACAATACTCGCGGAGGAGAACAAGAAGCTACGTATAGAAAATCAGCGTCAACAACAAAAGCAGCATCGACAACGTCAATATATTGCTTCTAGTGGAGTGCTCCAGGTGCAGCAGGCTCAGCAGCTTGCTGCAGAGGCAGAAAGGATGGTCATGGAGGCCAGCCAGAGCCAGGCTGGTGAGCGACGTCAGCGCGCGCCGCCAACGTGTACGAAGTGCCACACTCAAGGCCATACACGGACTCAATGTAGATAGTAATAATCTACCTTATAGTAGAATATAACTATATTATCTCTTATTATTGTGGCTCAATTGCGCAGAACGTTGCGTCAAGTCTGGTGGGGTGGCCAGCTTACTGGTGTGGCCAGCTTACTGGTGGGGCACGTTAATATAAAAAAAGTCAAAATTTACAGCGCGAAATTTAGAGCTAAAGTTAGAAGATTTTTTTACTCTACGTTTAAGAGGACACATGGCCTTCCTAGTGCTAACTAAGCAATAATATTAGACCGTCATCTTAAACGCCAAGAAATTCTCTATTCAACGATATATTTTTTATTAGTTTAGCGCTAATACCCATTGAGCAATGGATGTTTAAAAATCACAACTTTTTGGAGTTCCTTTTTTTTGTCACCCCACTGTACTATATTATCTCTTGTCATTGTTGATCAATGGCGCAAAGCGTGGCGTCAAGTTTGGTGGGGTGGGTCACTTACTGATAAAACACGTTAGTTAGTTTACTTAATTTGGTAAGAAATCTGCGTGTAAAGGTTATCCTACGCGTTACTAGCTTAGTATATTATAAGAGACGTTGTAGATAGCTACAGTACGTCGCATAGAGAGAGTTGCGTCTTATTTAAAAGCCTAAAGAGTAAGCTATATCTGATATTTAGTAGAGGGCTCTAAATAGTGTTATTATTGTGGCATCGCGGTGGGGAGGTAAATTAGTGAGGGCAACAGCTAGCGTAGCCCATTCGCCCGTGTGGCCCATTCGCCCGTAGGGTACGTTAGCTTAAGTTAGAGCAAGAAGTCTCTAAGCGTAGTAGGTATCCTATATATGTATTATAATTTTACATGTCTACAAGATTAATCAGCCTCTTGAGGAAGTTCTAGAATAATCACATCCCTATGTAGTTGCTCATGCACATGTTTCCCTCCTCACTCGCTTGCTCCTACGTGCCTGCTGCGTACGGGCTGCAGGCGGTTTTCAGCCAACGTGCAGATGTGGGGCTGCATACGCCAGCAACGTATAGACAATTGTCTTTGCGCACACGCGACATCATCCTACATTCGCCCTTGAGGCAAGGCAGACACCTGTGACAGGGATCCATACGGCGAAGATAACACGTAATGGGATCACCGCGCTATGCACGAGTGCGGCGCAGTAGCTCCATGCCACGTCCGAGTCGACCGGATCAGCGTCAGAATAACAGCAACAAGTACTAGTGACTGTGAGGCAAAGTCAATGATTTTGGTCATTCACCTACCACATGTGGAGTGGGCATAATAGTTTGTCGAGCGAATGAAATCTGACATAAGCCAATAGAGCGGCAACAGTAGCCGCGATGCGATTGAGGCGGGTTGATCTTTTACGCGATCCGCGGACGCTATCACAAGGATTATTCCAGCGCTAATGTGGCTCAAACAGGACAGTGGCGCCCATGCAGGGGGTGTCATCAACAATTTCCACGCTGGCTTAGATCACACAAACTAATCTGCATGAAGATGAGGTGGATCTTTAGGATTCGAGGGGTTTATTAGCCACCCACCTTGTAACCAGAACATTTGGTTCAAATATACATGTGGAAGTGCTTTCCTTCCTCTCTAATTCGTATTTCCGCACTCTGCTTGTTTACTATGTTACCTAAACACACCCACAAACACGATTTTCACCACCTCCGCGATGCACTTTTAGGCCCTTCGCCAGAAGACTCTCCTAAACTCGGCGATCTTGACCGCGAAGCTAAAAGTATGATAGACGTCTGTGAATCCGCAGCGCATGGGGAATTTGGTGAGCTTCGTGGAGCAGCATTCTACAACCGAACCTGGAATGTCATCGATCGATACTGCAGCCTAGGGGATGGTATAGATTCTCTTGTACGTCACATCCACTCTATGTGGCATATGTATTACCAGCTTGGTGTGCATACGGAGCACGATACGTACGATCAAGACCGTTTGGTCCTTGATATTGTCTGAATTCAGGGATTAGGACCGCTGACCAGGCCTGTAACTGGGAACTATGGCATTGATGTCGCAAGAACAATTGATGGCACAGTGTGGAATGATCTTCCTTTCTTGGCTATGGATATGACTGAATTCTGGGTTAAGAATTGTGCGACCTTGAAAAACGCCCAAAGACTTAACCTCGCATCTTTCTTTGCTAAGCTGGCGTCAACCCGCGTTAGTAAGGATCGCATCTGCCAGATCGGCCTTGTGTTGTTTTCCTCTACTTTGGAGGAAAGACGCGGGATTGTCGGAGGGGAGCCTGATGAACTTGCTTCACATCAGTGGATCTCGACTCTCGATTTCAAGCAGCTTATGCCGGCTGTATGCGCGTGGATCAAGGAAGCTGGCCACGTTCTTATCCAGTTATCCGAAGTCTCATGGAATGAGTGCCCCAGCAAAATCGGGCAGGGTGGGCCTATATTTCTCGAATCGGAATTCGGGAAGCGATCACCAACTGGATTCACGCCATGGAGATGGATGTACTGGCTTAAGCGCCTTCATGAAATTCGCGAAGAAGCGAAAGACGCAAATGAGAAGATTCTTGAGGAGCAGACAACTGATGCTATTGATCGCATGGTTAAGCAAGTGCATGAGCGAAATTCTGGAATTCTCAGAGCGTATCAAGACGGTGGGGACTTCTTGAAGCAAGACGAGCATTTCTCATGCTTAAAGGGTTGATAAGCCAAACAATTTCAAATTTTCTTGCACTCTGTACTTATATTTCCGAGTCATTTCACAGTCCCAAAATCTTAGCCCGCTCGCTCTGCTAGACGAAGGTGAAGTATCTTAAATGTAAAATGTTAGCTGAACGAGTGACGCGTCCACATTTCTAGTCTGTGTTTTTCCAAGTATGAGTCCTTTGGTGCGCACTGAGTAGACTCGATACCTGCTTGGTGCAATAACACATATAGAGCAAGTTCAATGCAAAAGAAAAAGAAAAGAAAAAGCCAGATGTGGGAACAGAACGAGAGAAAGGCATATGAATGGCCGGTATATTGATAGATACTGATAAGTCCTCAAATCGCTTCCGCTGGTCAGCTTTCGGTACCAATGCTGGAATCTGAATGTCTACGTATTCCTTTTCCATCCAAATCCTTCATAACGACAATCAGCAGACCGTACGAGGTGCACAATTTCTCACTAGTACTAACAAAAGAACAATGGGAACAAGACTAGTGAGTCGCAATCTTGTACATAACGCTCAAGAATATTCTTTCACACGGTTGGCGTAGCTGTCGAAGAGACAATAATTCCCGTCTGCCGTACACTAAGGACCTCAGGGAAAAAAAGATTAGCGCCGCGGTAAATCAGGCTGCTGCCTTGCAGCTGGATTAGCCCTTACCCTCTTATTGGCAAAAGTGGGGCACGGAGCGAGTGCTGTGTTGCCTGACTCAGTTGTATATCTGCACAAGTTGTTCGCTCTGAGACATGTCTATCACCGAGACAATTAGCTGTGATCATATGCGCGAGTGACCAGGGAGTGCAACGGATGGTTTCACTTACTCCTTCCCAATCCCTTCTCTTCCCCAGATGAGCAGGAGTTGCAACTACTCCAGTTACAGTAACAATGACGATAATGGCGGCTGTTATGATCTGCATGGTGGAAGGCTTGGGATGCTGATGTTGCAAGAGTTGAGATCGAGTATTGGGAAAAGAACTAATGTTGAAAAGACAATCAGGTTGTAAGATGGCCCTTTATAGAGTCTATGGCTAACTCTACGGAAATATTCGTGGGTATTCGAAGATTACAATGGTTGGCTTTAACCTCCACAACTGATGGGCAGATACGATAGTTGAGTTCAAAGCGACCTGCAAGTTGGATCTAAGAAGGCTGTTAAAGGACTAGCTGGGCACAAGTACACGGTATAACACATGATGGCGTACCTGACTGGCAAGCCCCTGGATGAAGTCGACAGTCAGGTCTGAGGGGCTTGAGAGATGCGTGAGGCTGTGAGCATTGCTCTTGACCGCGAAGTCGTCATCGAGAGGCTCGAGCGTACTTAGTCCCGCCATGGCTGATGTGATATAGAAGATCCACGGGTGGGTTGCGTATAGATTGTGTGGGCAACCGTTCTGTTGGTTAAGAGAGCTTTGAAGGGAAGCTGAAGGCCTACAAGTAACTATGTAGTTCTATCAATTTGGTGTAGGCGGGGGAGGCTGCGAGAGAGTAGCCTGGGCTATATTCCTGGCGTTTGCGGCTGATGACTGACGAGTCATGAGTGTACATATGCTGAGAGCTTTAAGAATCGACGAGATCATGACATCTATCTTAGACACTCTAACCTTTCAAGGACCTTCTGCATTAAAACTAGTCTTAAGCAAGTTAGTAAGCGGCAAGTCTGCTTAGCCGCCCGTCTTAGCCGCCGTTATATTATGCATATACTTGTTCGCTTACGCACTAGTTCTTATTAATTACTACTTTAAAAACAGATACACTCTTTAACGTTCTAATTAGACGAGAAACTCTACTTAGGTAGGTTGCATATACGGCATATATTGCATATAGAGTGCCTTACCTCGCTAAGAAGAATATGAGCGCATAGTATGAAGAGCCTTAAATCTTATTATACTACTTACCTAATCGCATCCGTTAGGTTTAACGGCGCAGGCAAGACTACTTGGATTAGTATCGGTAGTAGCGCCACTTAGAGGCATATGGGAGTGCGTGAGACATTAAACGAGCCTTGATTCGAATAGACACCTATAGGCCTTGTACGAAAGGATATTAAAAGTCTACTGAGCTAGCTACAGGGAGTGTCTCCTTATATACTTGTCTTAGCTGGATCCGAATCGGATCCGACCTTACAATGGGTGGTTGATGAAGAAGGTAGCGAATACTACCTCCGATCTAGCTCTATGATTAGTCCGATACTTAACGAATTTGTAACATCGTCATACTACCCCTCTCTTAGTAGACAGCTAGTCCTATAGCTATAAGACTTATGCCTCCGTGTGGTGACTATTTCGAGTGGCTTTCAGCTTATTTTTAGATACCTATCTTTTCTGTTTTCTTTTCTTTCCCTACACTCGGTTGTCCTATAGTAAAGTTATGTTATTGTCAGAATGTGGGCATATTTTGGATAGTTGATAGAATCCAGGTGCTTAAGCACACCCGGATTCTGTGAGCAGCGATCACACACGATCCGCTGCTATCCGGATCACCTATAACAGTACACGCTGCAGATTAAGCCGCAGTATCTAGAGTCCTTGTGTACAGCCAATAAGAGCGACCTTCGCCAAGGCTATAACCTAGCCGAGGCTGAAACTAGAGGCTCTACCTCACACAAAAAGCAATAGCTAGACGACTCTAAAAGAGGCGCGCAGGCGCGCCTCTAACGAGACAACAAGATCAACGATCAATCAGAATCAATTCAATCTATACACAATTATCACAGCTATTTATCACAGTTTTATTCCATCTTTAAGAACCATTATTATCGGACAATTAAGAGTCTCACTGCCTCTACCGATTCGTCGATAACCAATCAACCGATCCAAATCTAACATGAACGCGCAAGCCAATCAGCAGAACGCGACAGTGCTACTACGCGATGAGCACGACTACCGCGCTTGGTACAACCAACTAGAAGCGCGCTGCGTCACCTACAATTTGTGGGAACAGGTTAATCCTGATGGGACAAAGCCGCTTTTGACGGAGCCGACCCCTCCGAAGCTCCCAGAATACGGCGACTATACGCCAATCAATACGCTGCCTACGGGGCAAGTACCAACTAAGTCAACCGACCTATCCACCTCAGGTCAGCGAGCCTACAAGGACGACCTTGAGGTCTACAAGCTTAAAATGGAGCTGTACAAGGTGGATTTCGCCAAGTACAAGGCCGAAGTGGCAAACCTCCAGCAGATCAAGATCCTGATCCAATCCACTGTTGCAGCTCATCTACAGCGCACCTGCTGTCCGCCCAGCGGATCAATCAAAGACTGGATCAAGAACCTAAAAGCCCAAGTCGGTATCACTATCGAAAATGAGCGAGAGCAAGCGCGACAGCGATATCACAACGCTCTCAAACCACCACGATTAGCGAGTAACTGGGATACCTGGCTCGCTGAGTACAATCAAGCCCTGACTGAAGCTGAGACACTTAAGGTGTCCGATACTACTCAGTTCAGGCCATTAGCTGTAGACTTTATGTCAGCAGTGAATAAAATAGCTCCAATATGGGTAATGCACTTTTAATCTAGTATATTGGATTAACCTGAGGTAACTTAGAAGGACATGATGAGACGTTTCCGAGAATATATGATGCTAAATCACCCGATCACGCGAAATAGAAGCTAAAAGGCAGCGTTTGTAGTGGATGATCCATCTATATTACTTGCTGCGAACAGTAACGCTGATCAGCGCGTGGATGGGGACGCCCACTATGTGGAAACGGGAAACTCTTAAGTTAGAAAACGGGGCAGACCCCGATATTAACGTATAGCTAGTGAGGAAGGTAATAGCTAGGCTCTAGGCTTAATAATCTCTTGACGAGGAAGAGGTAAAAGTGTAAAAGCGTACGCCTATAGTAACTCCGCTTAAGCGGACGCTATTTCTGGTAAAACTGTAATAGCAGACGCTAGAGGGCCTAAATGTCCAGCATGTGACATGGGACATGCTCTCGTGATTGCTTCTACGTGTATAGCGAGAAAGCTCCGGAGTGGTGGGAACTAAATCTAAGAATCGCAAAGCTCGTAGAGCTCCAACGAGAGCACGACGCTGAGTTTCAGAGTCTCTTACGAGCATAAAGTCGCCCAAAGACTCGCACTCTAATAACTAAGCAATTCTAAACCCCTACGCCTAATATACTTGACGAATGACTAAATGGTAGATAGATATTAAAGATTGATGCTATGTTCTCGGCCGTATCCCTTCCGGATCGCCACGATTACCTACTGAGTAATTTATTTATCTTCGACTTAGGATTGACATGCTACATCACGAATAAACCCGATCGGATCTATAACTATCGACCGCCTAGCTATGGAGACTTTATATGGGCAGGCAATAGCTAAAGTTGGATTAAGGGATATAGATTAATTACACTACAACTTAAATATAAACAAAGAATGGAGAAACTCGTGCTTTACGACGTAGCAATCTGCCTAGATATTCTCTGTAATATCGTCTCGTTCAGAGTACTGAGAAAGCAAGGACTCTGGTGGGATACCTAATTGGATCCTACAGCGATTAAGCGATTAGATGGATCAACTATCTACGAGCTGGTAGAAATGTATGGTCAATGGGTACTTGAGTATTAGCCGATTAGATTAGTGGATAGAGTAGCCCTACACGCTCACTTATATATGACCTGAACGCGTCGGCGACCTTAACAGGCGCCTGCTCTCCTCTTGCATAAAAGACTGGGACATCTAGGGCTAGCAGCGATTGAACACCTAGTCTAGTAAGCTGAGGGGGTGCGAGTTAAAGGGATAACAATAGTGTAGTGTGATGCGTGTGGACGAGCGAAAATCCGACGACAGATTAGCTGAGCTCCGCGGATTAATGATTAGGGACCCGCAGAGAGGCTCTTTATTAATTTCTACTCCTATAAGAAACAGTCCTTTAATAAGAAGTTATTATAGTTATTAATTATAGACAAACACTTATAACTGCAGTGGGACTTCTATCTTATAGATAATTAAATAGCTAAATTAATTATCTAGACACTCTTAAACTTTATTACCTTTCTTAAAAATTAATACAATATTACCCTAAAGGTAATTAAAACAGATAATAAGATCACTATAGTTAAACCAGAAGTAGAGCGGTGGTTATAAAGCTAAGGTATTACTATTAAGCCTTCAGCACTAAATACTTAAGCTCAGAATAGTAGGGCTAAACGCTCAGAGAGAGTAAATAAGAAGAAGGCACGTGCAATAAGACTTAACGCTAATCTACTATAAGAGCTCTAGCTAGAAATCACTTAGGCTACTATACACCTATATAATTAAACGCCGAACTATAGTAATTAGTAGAAAACACTCTATAAAGTCTTCTTCACGCGGGTATTACTAGCGAATAGGATAGTTACATTAATTAAGAAGCCCAACCTAGTATACCTTAAAGTATATAGGTATAAGGCCTTCGCGATAACTAACGATACCTACAGAGGTAAATTAAGACTATAGCAGCTTAATCTAAAAGGCTAGATTAGATACCTAGTTAGATATTAATTATCTAATATCTATTAGATATAAATCTTACTACTCGCTAAAGTTATTAGTATAAAAGACGTAATCTTTAATAAAAATATAATTTTTTATAGAATAGTTAAAGACCTACTAGACAGTCTTATATATAGTACTCTATTAGAGATTATAGTATATATTAGAACTATTAAGCTCTCTTTACTAATACTAGATACTTGTAACGGGCTGAACGCCCTTTGGATAGCTCCTCGATGGAATCTCGGCCTACTCGCAGAACCCGGGTGCTGTCTCGAGCACCCGGATTCTCTGCGCACCGCCCGAACGACGTTCAGACGACAGCCGCAGGACCCAGAAGCTGCCTCGTGCACCTAGACTTCACCGGTCCGATTGTTACTCGGGTAACCAGCTTGTATATAGACAGCTACGTAGCTTGGGAGCTTAGCTCCTCATCGAATACAACCTCTTGTATACCTCGCGATTGCTCCCTAGAGCGCAGCCCCTTACATTTTGTATTCGATCCCAATTAGACACAAGCCTTAGGCGGACTGTCTTCTGACTAAGCTTCAGAACGTGCTATTAGCATAAGCTAGTAACACGGAGTTGGTGCTGCAATAGGTACGAAAGGCCTTAGCGCAGCGAGTAGGTGGACCGTCGCAAGATAGTACACCTAGAGCAGAGCTTCG